GTCTTTGTCGAACATTGTGTTTTCCACATTTTTGTATACTGCTTTGAGGTTAGAAAAATAGGACAAACCGCCTCCTATGGGTGAGAGGTCGGCATATCCCTTACTCATGTTTCCAAACGAGAGGACAAAGTCGTCACCTTCCCACAAAAGAACAGAAGCTCCAGGGAGAACACAAGCGTCATCATCGTCGTCGCTCGAGTCAGTCTCACTCATGGCGAAGTCTTTGAATGGGGTGTATTTCACGATATTTTCATCGTCGCCATTGGACACAGTAAAAATGAAGTGTGACGTGTCTTTCCGATCATGGAAGGTATCGACGTTGTATGCTGTTTTTAATATGAATTTACTGAACGCCCCAAAGACATTGTTTTGGTCATCGAAAAAGATGAAACAGATGTTTGCCTTGTTTTTGGCTTTATTTGAAAAAGTATCAAAAGCATCCTTCTCACTGTCAAACACTATCCGCGCCTTTGAAAGGTCGGTCCACTCAAATAATTTTGTGAGAAAGGTTTCCACGTACGGGAACTCAACTAAATTGCGCGAAAGTGACTTCACACAATTTTTGGTGATTTCACTGTCAACAGCTTCACTCTTCTCTTCGGATGATTGCTCGGACTGCTCCGAAGTGGAGTGAGAAAGTGTTTTACACTCGTCGTCTGACGAAGATTGCTCCGATGAACTTTCAGAATCGTTAGAATCGACTTTCTTTGCTTTGGTAGTTGCTGGTGCGGTAGTCCGCTTCACACCCTTTTTCTTTGAGGGCTTGGAACGCTCGTGCGATTCATCGACTTTCATTTTCAACCCCAATAAATTGATTTCGGAATTCTCTGCCGTCCATTTTTTATGTTTGAAAAGTGTGCTAAGGTCGTTGTAAATGGTCTCTACCACATCCATTGTAAGTGCGTCTTTCTTTTTTGCTTTTTCAAATGTTTTTCTGATCGCTTTTAAACTTTTTGCCTCTTCCTCGTTTTGATTTGTATAAAACGTCAGAATCGATTCAATGAAACTACTTGTGTCCATTAAATTAAAAGTTCTTGTCTTCTCTTTTCAGTTTTCTTTTTGTCTTTTCACACCTTTTGAAAAGACAAAAAAAAGTTCTCTAAATCATTTTTTTTTGCATTCGCTCGTTCGGGATTTACTTGTAATCTTATTTTCTCAAAAATGTAATCTCTTTTTTATTTCTAAGATATTTTATAAGATGGAATAACAATTTAATTGTTTTTATAGTATTTTATAAATCAAATATTTTAACTATTTGATTTATTATTTTTATAATTAATAAAAAATAACAAATCAAAATATAAATTCGTAATAATTTTTAAATAGACATTTTCATCTATTTTAGAAATATTGAAAAAATTGTAAATTTTTTTCTATATAATTATTGTTAGACTAAAACATTTTACTCTTTTATAATTTTTTTTTGTTATTTTAAATTTTGGTTTATAATAAACTAATTATAAATTATACCATTTTTGTTATAAATAAATTATAAAAAAATATTATTAAAAAAAAATTAAATATCGGAACATAATATTTTTAGATTTTCTTGTTTTTTATGTAAAAAAATAATTATCTACCGGTATAACAATGTTATGAGTGACAAAACAAAATTTAATACTTTTCGACATTTGAAAAATATAATAAAATAAATAAAATATTTTGGTTGATAGTTCCTTGATTCATAGTTCTTTTTACGTTTTTATTTTTTAAACTAAAATTTTCCTACCCCTTTTTTGTTTTCTTTCTACTTTTTCTAACTCATATTATTAAAAGATAATATATAGTTTAAAGTATGTTAAAAAAACTATTAAAAAACACAGTCTGATTCAGCGAAATGACCGAGTTGGTAATAAAGAATTTCACTCAAAGTCTTCGATTAGTAGAAAAAAGGCTCGAATGAAAGAAAATATAAAAAATATATTTTTACATGAAAACTTGAAAAAGCAAATGCAGGGGACAACAGCTGTTGTTGTTCGAGTCCTCGAAGGTCGAAATATGCCGAAGAACAAGACAAAGCCGTTTGACTTGTACGTACGCTTTAAGAACACTGCAAACACGCAATCATTCCAAACCTCAACACAAGAGAAAACAACGTCCCCCAAGTGGACGGACCAATTTGACTTGTCCCTTCCTACAAATCTCATCAACAAAAAAACTTTATTACTTTTCCACGTCTGGGCAAATGGATTTTTTAAAGAGTCTATTGGGACATTAAAGGTGGAGATGACTGACGAGAAGTATAAGGATAAATGGTATCCTATTGAGTTAGACAAGAAGTTCCCAAAGTCGACGCAAAAGCCGGACCTCCGAGTGACTGTTGAAATTGTCTCTCCGCAACAAGCACAGACCGAGTCGGAGTCACAAGACGAGGAAGTTGAAGTGAAAGAGAAAGTGCCGGAGGTCAAGGAGAATGACGTTTTAGTACAACCCGAATACAACTCCTTCGACGATTTCAAACAGAAGTATTTGATCACAAACAACGAGTTGGGGGAGGGCGCCTTTTCGGTGGTATTTCCAGGACAAGTCATCGCGACAAAGGAGCGCGTTGCTATCAAAAGAATAATAAAAGAGGGATTGCCTGAGGATCAACTTGAAGCCGTCCATCGGGAAATATCGCTGATGCGTCGATTACGACATAAAAATATCGTTCGACTACTAGACGTCTACGAGAACAATGAGATGTTGTATCTTGTATTGGAATATATAGAAGGAGGTGAACTCTATGAACGGTTGGCTCAAAGTGCATTAAAAGAGCGCCAAGCAGCGTGTTTAGTGGCACAATTAGTATCTGCGTTGGTGTATCTCCACAAGAATAACATTGCGCATCGAGACTTGAAGCCAGAAAATATTTTGTGTGTGTATAAAGATGGGTTGTATGTCAAAATCGCCGATTTTGGATTGTCGAAGGACTTTTCTTCAGCAATGCTCCAAACGTGCTGCGGGACAGCTTCGTATGTTGCTCCTGAAGTGATTAACGGAGAACCTTATACATGTCAATGTGACATTTGGTCACTTGGGGTTATCGCGTATTTAGCGATATCAGGGAATTTGCCATTCTATGACGACGATGAAGACGTCATATTTGATAAGATATTGGAAGGGACGTACGAGTTTACGGGAGAGACGTGGGATAATGTGAGTGCAAAGGCGAAAGATTTCATCGAAAAGTGTTTGACACAAAACCCTCTTGATAGACCAACATCATTTGAATTGGTAAAACATCCATGGCTTTCTACCGCACAAGTTAGGTTGGATGTGGATGAGGAAATGGATGAAAACAAGAACAGATTTACATTTGATAATGCATGTGGATATATTGTCAAGTGTGGCAACACCCTCGGATAAATTGTAATTTATTTACTTTGTGTTTCATTATTAACAATTCTTTGATTTGTTGTTAATGAAAAATACTATTGTGAATATTATTATAATACATTTAATTTATTATTTTATTATATCTAATATTATTTAATAAATAATAATAACGATTTTTTATGTTACTTCTAATAACTTAAATTATGATTTAATTAATAATTAAAGTAATAAAATTATTTAAATATTTTTTATGATAATAATTACAAAAATTATTAATGATTGATAGTTTTTTTCTATTTGATTAATATAGTTTTAAGTATAATAAAGTATTTTAGTATTTTTGTTTTAGGTTTTGTTTTTTTACTTATAATAAAATAATAAAAAACCAATATAAAAAATAATAAAACATACTATTTATTTTACTTACATTATATTAATAAAAATATAATTTTTTGAATGGTACTGTTTACCATTTTAACTAATTATGTTTAGTGGAGTATTTTTTGTAAAAAATAATAATTTGTATTAATATAATTTTTATATTTTAATTAATTACAACCAATAAAATTAATAAAAGTAGTTTTTTATTCATTTTTTATTTTACCAAAAAAAAAAAACGAAAAGGAGGTTTTCCAATTTTAGTTCATAAAAAAAAAAATTTGATTGTTTTTAATTCGATGTATAAAAATAGAATAAAGAATTAAAAATAACAATAAAAAAATGAAAAAAAAAATCTCTTAAGTTATTAAGTATTAATAATTAATATACTTATTATTAATTCAGTATCCAAAGTTTCAAAAAACCATCAAAACCAAAAACTTGGTTAAAAATGGTTTGTTGTAAAGATGACTATTTATTTAATTATAATTAATCAATACTCTATTAGTTAATTTACTACCATATAAATAATTTTTTCCATTAGACTTAAGTAAAAAGAATTATAAAAATAATAAACTAGAAAAACATGCTTTTCCTTTTTCTGGTTGTTGTGTACAGCCAGTCGAACTGTAGTTTAGGATGTGTCGACACATGTATTTCGCCTTACACATGTGGGTTATGCAAAGAAGGGTATGACAATGACAATTCTTGTTTATATTGTGTTTCACAGAAAGTTTCTGGTGGTATTTTCTTAGAGAGTTCCGACGGGTGCACTTATTATGACAAAGTTACATCAGCAACAACTTGGTATCCGCAGACGGACATTATCAACTTTGTTGAGAACGACACAAAAGTCCTTTCCATCAACACAAATAGTTATGTCGACTTCGGCCCATGTACTTTTCCATCCAACAATTATCGTTTGTGTCAGTGGGCAACCGTCAATCTGTCGACTTTCACTAACACCGTTTTTGTGATGAAAATTAAACGGAAAGAAACAGCAGAGAGTAAGCACCCGACTCTATTTGTCGACTTCACACCCTCCCAAACGAGTGCTATAATACCCGATTGTTTTGTAAGAAGTGAAATACAAAGTGACAGTGGGATTGTTACTATTCCATTAGCTTCTGTTCCCAAATCAACGGTATTGTTATATGTTTACTTTTCAATTAACGGCCTTGATACTGTGGACATGGAAGTCAGTGTATTCTCTGATGGAAATTATACCGACTATATTCAAGGTGTTGTTTTTAATCAAGAAATGCTCAATCAACTGTATTTCTACCCAGATACAAATTACACAGTTGTATTCAATTTTTCAAATATCACAAATTTCCACCCCGCTCTCTGTGGGTCCAACGTAAGAGGAAAATTTGGGTATTTGGAATTGTACTTAAGAGGAGACTATACCATTTCTATTAACTCCACAGAGGATAACAGAAACTTGTATTTAATAGAGGTAGACTCGTACTTACACTGTTTTAGGGTGTGGACCGGAGAGAGACATGGCGAATACGTGATGAATAATAACAGTGGAATTTACGTCACTTTCAATGCGAGCAATTCACCGTTCAGAAGACAGTTTCTAGTTGCGTCGCCGGACTTTTCGTACGAGCCAAAACTTGTTATCAAAGCGATATGCCCGGACCACTGTAACTCGATTAATGGGAATGGAGCGTGTTTCGTCACAACGGGGGAGTGTGTGTGCAACGATGGGTTTATAGGGAGAGACTGTCACCGGAGTTGTTGGTATAACAATAAATGGGTATATGGTGATGGTGTAGGGATGTGCTACCATGGAACAGAGCACTGTGACGATTATTGTGTATGTGAGAGTGGGTACATTAATGATAATCATTACTGTTTGAGTCGTTCGTGTATTAACAGTGACATGAGTTCGATGAAGAAATATGAGTGTGATCGAAACACGGAGAATTGCATGTTCAATTGTACATGTCAAGAAGGGTATATAAGTGTTAATCATCGTTGTGCGTTAATTACATGTGGGAACGACGTTTTAGATGTTGGAGAGAAGTGTGATGGTGTGCCAAATTGTTCAGAGATGTGTGAGTGTATAAATGAATATGAAGAAGAAGGTGTACTTAATAAGTGTGTCAAAAAGAGTATGCCTGCATATGTAATAGTCGCCATAGTTGTATCTATCACACTCTTCTTTGTTTTAGTAGTTAGTGTCACGTGTGGGATCATCATCTTCATATTAACACGAAAGAAACCTGAAGAGAAAATAGACTTAGAACGACAACCTTCGTACTACTTTACAACGTCGCGGTCTGTGAATTTGGTACAAGACTCTACAAATGATATCCCAATCAAATTCTACTTGTCAAAGAAAACATTGGACTTTGGGAATCCAACAATACCCACCGAAATATTAACGACACGATACGAGAATATCTCGTTCAGAAACAAGTCCCTCTCTAAATCAATGATGGTCATATTTCATACACCAAATGACCCAAAATTCATACTCAATTTTAAACCACAAGTCCTCTTTCTCTCACCTATTTCAAAGGCTAAGACAGTCACTGCTCTTATTACTATATTATGCACCACGAAGATAAGAGGAGTGCAGATACCATACACAGTCTGGTTTGCACAATCGCGAAGTGTCCTCGAACGCATTGAAAGAATCTTAGTCAACAAAAGTATACAAACGTGGACACAACTCGACCAAATTTCACTTGACAAAGAACAAGTTGATGTGACTCTGAAGTACAACGGATACCTCAAAATAGCAACAGACGCAGCGGCTTCAATGTACATCGACTTGGACGAATTGGATCTGAGAACAACACCATTTGAAGAGAATGACCACCATAAGTTGTTTCTAGGGAGTTACAGAGGTATTGTAGTCTGTGTGAAAGAGATTTGTTCCTTGAAGTTTACTGAGGAGCAATGGGAAGTCGTCAAAGAGGAGATGTTAAAAGTGTGTCAAATCCAAGCGAAGTTACGCAACCCATTTATAGTGAATTACATCGGGAATGTGAGTTATACAAAAGACATTTACGTCGTCTCACAGTTTTATACATGCGGGTCGCTCGACACGTTCATATATACGAAAAAAGATCTGGACAACGTCGTTCTCCCCTTTGAACTCAAAATGAAAATGTTACTTGATATAGCGAAGGGAATGCACTTCTTACACTACAACAACATGCTCCATTTGAACCTTAAACCATCTAATTTGATGATCAATTCAGTCGACAAAGACTCTGCGTGTTGTATTAAAATAGCAGACTTTGTATCCACACCCAAGCTTCAAAATATCAAAGAAGAAGTTGGCCGCGTTTGTACGGAATATTGTGCTCCAGAGTTTTTCATCAACAATTTCCAGAAACAGACGGACGTCTACTCATACGGAGTCGTTGCTTTCGAACTCTTCTTTCAAAAGAAAGTCAAGTTATTGGTTGTCGACGGGAAAGAGAAATTGGGGAAGATCAATACACTGTCTTTGTATGAACACTCCACGCCAAAGGCCTTTAAAGAGTTGGTCGAAAACTGTTTAAGGAGTGACTGGAACAAAAGACCAACATCTTCAATTGTCCTCGATGAAATTCAGGAAGTCTTAAGGTCGTCGAAGATATACAAAAACCTCGACGACGGCGTCGACTTGGCAAAGCTCGATAACTTTGTCGAAATGAAACAACAGCAATCGAATTGCGACATGATGATGAACTAAGTCTGTCGCTGTACACTATGTATTTTAATTCTTGTTTAATTAAGTTATTCAGACTCTCTTAAATAGTTAAATTATAATAAAAGTGTTATAATATAATAGTTTGTGGTATTACACTGAGTTTAGGAGGTTACGACTTGATATAGCCACTTTGTCGGGAAATGCGATTAGAAGAGCGAGAACTGAAAAATGTGGAGTGCAAAAGATGATTGGTGTGGAACAGACTCAAAATGTGGACAAGTATTACAGTGCGTGGTTTTCATACAACACCCGACCTGTCACGCAAGTTATTCGATTTGAAGTGAATGGGAATTTGTTTGAGTTAGACAAGAGTGTCGTGACGATGGAACGAGTAGAGAAGAGTGTATTACAGTATGTATTATTAAAGAAAAAGGACGAAGTGGATAGAGGAGATATCATACATATTCCTGGTAACAGAACTGAAGAAAAACAGTGGAAAATATACTTCAATTATATCAGTGGAGAGTGTATATATGATAGACTCTTTTCTTTGAGAAAGGCTATTGAGAAGGTAGTTGTCTTGTTATACTTTGGAGTCTCTTTACCAGAGATTTTGGTGTATTTAGGAGTATCTAGAGAGACGCAACCATTAATAGTGGGTAGACTCTTAATGGTAATGGACAAAAGAATGGTGTCGAGTATTACACAACTGGACAAAGAAAAGACGTGGTCGGACTATTTTAGACGTGGAGTACAACACTTAGTAAAGGTTCCGGAGAGTCTTACGGATTATTACTCGAATTCGGATAACGTCAAAACAATGTGTGAATATTATGGACTTCGTTCGGAATTGGACACCATGATCGAAGAGAAGGTGAAACAAGTTGAAGAGAATGAGCGATCAAGAATCCCATTGAGTCTCTTCTTCGGGTCACTTGGAGTGAAAAAAGAAACGAACGTGGTCGACATGGAAAAGATGCGGCGGTTGAACGAGATGAAGAAGAAAAAGAACTTTGTCAAGATCAACGTCGAGGAAATCCGACTGGACAAGTTATCGAATTTGATTTATTGTCAACGTCGCATTCGATTATTTGTGTCGTACTCCAAATACAGTTTCAGACTCTTACAACTCAGTAGAAACCACTTTACAGAGTACGTCGACACGGAGAGGAGCTTCTGTAATTGGATGAAATTGTTTAAAGAAGTCTTTAGAGACAAGTTTATGGTTGAAGTGAATGCGGGGCATATGGAGCAAAGTACCGTCGATGGCATCTTCTTGAACTTACTTGCAGTCATAGAAAACTCGGAGAAATTAGAACGTGAGTTGAGACCTTATGTGACCAAATTTAGGTGTGACACATGCACGGGAAAGGCTATTGAAGACACTGCGAAGTTTGTAGGCGCATTAGTACCATTTACTAATGACTACCAACCCGCACTTGAGACATTCAACTCAGTGAAAGAAACGCCAATGGTTCAGTCCATTTTAATTCAAACAACGGACGGACAGAACACACAAAATGCCGCGAATCGATCGCGATGCCAAAGTGAATTTGAAGCGTTCAAACAGCAAATTGGGGATGGTAAGATGTCGTACATCGAGCGGTTAATGTACGAATCCTTAGAAGCAAAATTGAAAGCGTGTCCAAACGCAGCAAAAGATTTCACTTCATTACTTATTATGCCCGCACAGAGATGTATGCGATACGGAACTATGCTCGAACCAATGGTCAAAGACATGGGAAAGTTACATCCCGACTACGCGCCAACCGTCTCCGCGTATAAGTGCTTCAAGACCTTTGCAAAGTATACCAATGACAACGGCGCCATGCGTTCCGCTTTGATTAATTTAGCAAAGACCTTCAATTACACCAAATTGGCGGTCTTAGGGCGGTATCTTAGTAAACAAGAGGAAGGTGAATATGAGAAGGAGAAGCACGTCATCTTTTTGCTGAATGACTCAATCGCCTTTGTCAAAGAGAAAGTGTACATCCAGGCTAAAACAAAGAAGGACAAAACAAAGGTCAAACCACTCCAATTCCAAATTAATCACCAGACAACAGTAAAGCGAAGTATCGATACTTTGATGATCAACAACGTCGTCGAAATATCAAACACTAAGAGTGGGAAGACTTCACTCGCTATTAAACTGTCTTCCGTCGAAGTCGCTAAAACGTGGGAAGAAGAAATTAACGTCAACGTCAGTCTTAGATTCTTCGACTTGAACTACGAAAGTGCGTGGCTTGACCAATACAAGAAGAAATGAGTTTTTAAATTCTTCGTGTTTTTATAGGCTTTTTTTACTGTATTATTTTTAATTATTAAAGAATTAGAAAATCTGGTTTATGGTGGTGAATTATAAAGTATGGTAAAGTTATAAGAGGGTATGGTACAGTCTAGGGCAACCGACACAAACGAGACAATGTGAATTAAATCATCTTAATCTTCTAGCCTCACGCTCAGCTTCAAGGAGTGTCAAAACATCGCCCACTCTGATTGGCCCCTTCACGTTTCTCAAAATTTGTCTGTTCTGTTTCTCGATCTCACATCTGACTTGAATGACACCACCACGAGATCCGGTTCTCCCAAGGATCTCGATCACTTTTGCGTAGATGACCTCCTGCTCTTGAACTTGTGTGGACATTGTCAGGCACTAGGTTTTCAAGTTTCCTTTTTAGGTTTGGTCGAGATAGTTCATACATTAGTTTATCTATACTAAAATAGATAAGACCACGTATAGTTTTGTTTATAGTATAAAAGTTATAAATATATACTACTAAAAGAAGTCTTTTGAATTACCAAAACCCAAGCAAAAGTTTTGGTGTGTTTTTGATATGAATAAAAAACCAGTGAAAATTTGAATGGAAGAGCACAATTGAACAAAGTAAGACACCTTCGAACCCAAAATGAATGTAAAGGAAGTCACTCAATAAAGCGAACTTGATAAATTTGATGCTCAGTACCAAAGCATTTTACATTTGCTTTTCAGAACTGAACAAAACATCTTTTGCACGAGTACACCCGATAGTTAGGCCTTGTGGTGGGTATTATATGACAATGACGTATAACAAGTCTGAAGCAATTTTGTTCGAGACCTTCGACGAGGACACCGAATCAAAGACATTTCGACTCAGACTTGTTGAACCAAATAAAACGACTAAGCAAACACAGTACGTCAATATCGACCCATTTCCACCAAATAATATCTATATCTCAACATGCGTCCAATTGTCCGTTCGATTTCGACTCCAGAACAAACGATTTGAATGTTTGGTCTGTCAAAGCTTAGCACCGCCCCCTGAAGAGATGACGAAGAAAATCTCGGAGTACTTCTTTAGTATTGGGGAAGTATTTTCGGGCAAACATACCAAATACGGACAACTTGTTGTGATCAATTGCGCACAGCATTTCCTCTTTAAGGAAAATTTAACAGGGATTTTTAATATAGGAACATATGCAGTGCCGTTTAAACCGATTCACTACGTCGCACTGTTGAATGAAATACCAAATGTCGACGTGATCCCAGGTACACCGTATTTCAAAGCTATCATTCACCAAAACTTCGAGAACTCAACGTGCTTCAAATTTAAACAGGGGGTATTTGGATTCAAAATTGAGGCAGTCTGGCTCAACGCACCAAGCGCAAAAACAATTTGTGGGGAGTGGTGGCTTAAAGTACTTGATGACGGGAATGTGGTCTTTGGCGAAGAGAAAGAAGCCGACGAATTTTGTATATCGGGAGGTAGACTTGACATCATCAAAGACGGAAAAATTAGAAACTTTGTCGGTCTTGGCGAGAGGAGAGACGAGATGAGCTTCTTCTTAGCAACATGTCCTTTGGACTTATTAACATTTCGACTCGAAATTAAAGCGTTGACATCTACGGATGGGTATGAACATCACTCTCTCCCGTTGAATGAAGAACAATTGACTCTATGAAGCCTGTTAATTCAGTGACAAGGAGTAAAGATACAGACAGAATTTTGTTGCAAAAGACGTTGGGGGTGTTGTATACTAAACTAATGGTTTATTTATAGTTAATATATAGTTTCAATCTGTCATTTCTTGATGCCATTATTACCGACCAAAATTACATACCAAAAACAAAACTCAAAATAGGACCAAAGTGATGGAGTTAGCAGATGCCTCATGCATTCACGCCATTCTTCGGACTTTATCGGCATCAGATATATTAACACTATTGTGTGTTAATAGGAAGATCGCAGAATACGTCCATTCCTCCCCAACTATCCCTTATCTCCCAAGAACATTTCTGGTGTACTTCTTACTTCAACACACCTTCCCGAAACCATCGATTCAAATGGATTTCAAAAACTCTCTCACGCCGCCAAAGGCGGCGTCAGTCACTTATAGACATAACACTACAGCACCACCAATACCTCCTATCATGCCACTAAGGTCATTCATAGTCTCGTTGAACATCCCAGTACACCAGAAATTCATGATTGACTTGACGACGTTCCCGGTCCTCAAAAGACTTGTTCTGACCTTCTTCGCGGAGCCACAAACGTTCCAACCCCTCAATTTGGCTATTCTCTCGATATATCTCCAGTCCCAGAAACAAATTCCATTTCTGAATAAACTCAGAAACGTTGTCGCAAAGACGTTCATTCACATCCATTGCCCAAGCGCGCTGGACGTTGCAGAAATTAATAACATTTTTCATGGGGCAGTGATTATCACAGAAAAGTTGTCTGACTTCTCGCTTGCTGCAAAGGTGAAGTGTCTGCACAACTCAATTCCAATCAACAGAAAAGTGTACGAAGTCTGCTCTGTCCCAGCATCTCTTGCTTTTCTCCATGGAAATTTTGTGACTCAAAGATTGATAGAAAAGGCGTATGTGTATGGTAGAATGGTGTCGATGCCAATCTCACCACTTTCATTTAAGCAGCTCTTCTTGATTAACTTGAATTTGCCAAAAAGAGGCAACATCACTCTACGAAATGTGGAAACCCTTGTTGTGGGAAGTTGCGACAATTTGGCTGGATTTGACGGGTTGGATAAGTGCCCAATTAAGTCGTTCACGTTCTGCAAGAACAGTGCGATGACTTCTATTAAGGTGCCAACAACTTTGACGTATCTGGATGCTTCGGAATGGAAACCGTTGACTATCCCACCACTCCCGCTACTCAGGGCACTCTTCTTGAAAAAATGTAACACATTCAGACACATCACAGTCCCACCAGGAGTCGTCTCACTCACTGTGGAAGAGTGTCAGAAGCTCAAGAGAATTGCGAATTTAGCGGAGATATCCCTGACGAGTATAGAACTAGTTGAGTTACCTGTTTTAGTAGTCACCAACTTACCGACTTCATTAAGAAAGTTGACTCTGAACAACTTAAGCACGCTCGAGATATCGCTGAACAACTTGAATTTACTGGAAGAATTTCGATTTGCGGTGTGTTCGAATTTAAGAAGTATTGAATGTGGGACTAATCTCAAGAAGGTTGAAATCGACTGTTGTGTTGAGTTGAGTGAGTTTGTGTGCCCGTGTACGTTGAACAGTCTTTCGATAACGATGTGTTCGTCCATCAGTTCTATTGAGGCCAATGCAAGAAACGTCCAGTTGAGTAACCTTGGTGGTTTGTATAAGTTGCATACAACGGCTTTGGATAAAATGGTTTTGTGCGGTTTGAACGTAACACCTTCCTTTGAAGACAAAGTTTATCAACTTGTCTCACTGCGCCGAGTCACTCTTGACAAAATTCCGAAAGCAAAGAAACTGATTTTAGACGCCGTTTCTATTGAGAATACACACATCGATTTTGGTGTCGAGTGCCAAACAATTCGAGTCAAAAACATGAGGAGTTTGAAAGCGATCAAGCTTCCAAATACATTGGTCGACTTCACGGGAATGTCTTGTGGGTTTTCTCAAATAGAGATCCCAAGCGAATTAACTCGAATCCATCTGAAAGATTTGCCTATCACTTCACTCAAGTTGCCACCAAGTTGTGTGAAATTAAAACTTCAAAAATGCAAAAAGCTTCAAGAACTTGAATTACCAACAACACTAACATTCCTTATAATGAAGAAAGTGCCTCGTGGACTCTTGAAGAATGCATTTCTTCCAAATGTCCCTTTTGAAGTGCTTAGAAATTATTGTCTTTCAGATGATTGAATATTTGTTATTTAAAATGTTATTTACTTTATAACCAAATAGAACTTTTTTTAAACAGTCGATGGGGGAATCAGTAGAGTACCAAAACACGTGGAACAAACAAGAGAAAGTGATCATCGAAAAGATGCGAGGGATATATCAAACAGCTATATCTAAGTTTCCAAAGAATGAGGAATTGATGAGAAGGTATAACAACTTTTTGAGAGGGATTAATGACCAAGAGAGTTTGTAATGGTTTAACTATTTGATACTATTAATATATTAAAAAACGCTAACAGCCAGACGAACGCGCGTTACTCAATTTGGCGTTGCAACTTATGCCCGATAAGAAGAGTGATGTGTGGAAGATGTTTCACGAGTTTGAAGAGAGATGCGGGAACGTGCAGAGTATGATGGAGTTTGAAGAAAGACACATGACTGCGACAATTGACGAGAACTCGTCGAACGATATCCACTTTACTTTTCTATGGGTGAAGGATATGTTTACTTTTTTGGATCTGAAGCCTTACTCGGCTAAGGATGATATGGAATATGGTTTGTTACTCTTTACTTTATTGTTTGTGTCATATAGAAAATGACATGTAGACACGATGGAGAATTACTATAAGAACCTTGGGAAAGATGCCCAGAAAGATAAACAGAAACACACGACCCAAAGTGAAGGGTATGACAAACTTAATCAATTTATCAATGTTTTACCCCTGAATTACAATGGAGCGAAAGTCAATGTGGACGGACTAGTTGACATCTTTGCCACTATGATGGACGAGTTGTAAAGTAACTTCTTTTAGTATAGTTTATTTATCTATTGAATATATTAAAACTTAATTATATAATATTATAATAATATTATATATAATAATATTATAATAATATTACAAATAATATTATAAATTAATAAAAGAATAAGGTAAAGTACTACATTTATACATAATAAAATCCTCAATGGATCATCAAGTGAAGTTTCTGCTTTTCGTCTTTCAGTGTGATGTCTATTTCAGCTACGACGTCCTCAGCAAAAACACTTCTTTGGGCGTTGTAAAACCTGTCAACGAAGAAAAACACATCATTTGGGATTTTCTTGGAAGAGGTGTTGCTTGACACCGAGGCTTCACCCGTCTTTTCCGTTTTAATTGTGTCTAATAAAGAGATGTAGCCAGCTTTAGTGTTGTTGATTTTGTCTTTGATCTGGGAAGGGCTTTTCTTGAGGTAGAAGTACTTCTGTAAGTCATTAGACATGGAATTGAGTAAATCGACAAAGGTGACTGATCTCCTATGGACCAATTGCCAATGTCTATACTTGAGCATGACGTACTTTGTGGAATTCAAAGTCCAATTGCGGTCGATTTTCTTGACTGCTTTTGTTCTCAAATTGGTTGGCTGGGCTGCAGAAAGCTTCTTTGGCGGAAGAAGTACCTTCTCAAGCGAGTTGTTCACGGGGTCTTCATTTGCCGAGACCATGATCGTGTAATAGCTCCGGGTCTGTTGTGTGACTGGGCGAAATGCACTTGGCGTTTGCATTGTCTTCTGTTACAATTCAAGTTTCAAAGAAGCTTTCATTGGCAAATAAGCCAATCGAATGAGAGACTAAACTCGAAGTGGATTAAATGAATAAATATAGATTTTTTTACTATTAATGAATAGTTGTTGATTCAACAGCATCGAGAGAACAGGAGACTTGTTGTTGAACGGACAATTTGTTCTCGTATTTTACACCAATTTTTATGGTTCTGATAACCATTAATATTGTTTTCGAACAGAATAGGGAAATCGAAGTTTAAAGAAGAGTGCAATTTGATTAGCCAAAACAACTTATTAATAACCCGATATTAAAGTGATACTTCTATTATTATAATCGGAGAGTTTATGGACAAATCAAAATGGATGTATAGTATTTGGGAATGTTAAAATAGAATTGTTTTTTGTTTTAAAACAAGGCAAAATCCAAGAGTGGAGTGGATTTAGAATAATTAAAAAATAAAAAAACGGGATTTTTCGAAGAAGAAGACGTATATGCTTGAAAAAATCAATCTGATTTTTGTTAAGGCAAATTACGCTCTTTAATTAAAATAAAAAAATGGAGAGTTATATTTAATATAATCGGGAAAATATGGGAACACACTTTATCTATTACAAAAACAATTGTAGTTTTACCATTACTATTAATCTGGTTAAATTATTCCTCGAAGAACTCATTATTATAACCAAAAACTCGTATTGTGCATTTGATTATAATTATACAAACAAAAATAGATACAGAAATCAGAGGTGTCGGCAAAATCAACGGAATGTAAAGATTTTAATGTTATTAAAAAAAGACAAAGGATATCACACGTTTTCAAAATGTTATTTATTTTTGGTGAAGAAATGGATCTTTTGTTAATTCTTCTTCCGAATTCTACTATAATTTCTAGAAATTTTTAATTGTAACACATGAAAAAAATATATTAGAACAGACCAATATAATTTAATCATTCAGAACTATTGCTTAATAAGTTATTAATGGCGGTCTTTATGGTTAATGGATCTAAATATATACACAAAAAGTGTTTTTTAAAGGCTTTAAATAACCACTGGATAATTATTATGATTATAAATTATTGTAAAATATGGTATTATTTTATTATATTTTTTCTATTTTTTTTTGCCTGGTTATTTTATTTACTTGTCATCGCCATTATTACTAGTAATATGTGGTATTATTAACTATTTTATATAGTATTTATATTTGCAAACAATAATTATATTATTTGATTAACTTGATTATAAATAACTATAATAAAAAAGCCACCAAAATTGACAGAAGTCCCAGGACTACAAAAAATGGTAGAATAACAGGAGAAATGGATATCCAATGATATACAAAACATTTAATGTTCATTGTTGTATCTAAAACCAAAGAATCGACCATAAATGTTATTAAAATGTTATTACCAACTAAACGATAGAATTACTAATGAACATACAATTAAACAGTGTTTTGACAAAGAAACTCGATAACGCTTGGTATCGGCTTTACATTGAATTTACTTGTCTTTGCTGTTTTCCACATTTTTATACATCTTGCGAATTCTCTAATCTTTTCCATATTAAGTGTGCCCCCCAAGTCGAGGGTTAGTACGTCGCATTTTTCCAGTTCCTCTGCGAAGTAATTGACGACGACGAATTTAGGTTCGTCTTGTTGAATTTTTTTATATGCGCTCCAAAATGCCTTCTTCTCTAAAAATGCTTTGTTCTTCTCCAATGCATTCTTCACGTTCTTTTTAAGTTCCTTTGCAAAGACCTCGTTCTTCTGCTCGATTGTTTTTAACACAACAAATGCCATATTGAACGAATTCATTTCAATCAACTTGGTGACCACTGATATGAAGAAAAAGTAGGTGCTTGCTTTGTTCATGACGCGTAAGAGGAAGTTCTCAAGCTTCTCGAGCGTCCTCAAATAACCTTGGAAATTGATTCTTCTGTCTTCTTCGACAAATTCACTGATTTTGACCTTCCGGATATTTTCTTGGTCGAAATAAGTCAGTTGTTGCGCAGTCTCCACACATGATGTAAGTATACACTCCCACTCTTTCTCTTCCAAAACAGTCGTCGAACCAAACACGTAGCGACTCTTCTTCTTATTTATGACTTTATTTGTCGTGACCAATTTCACGGAACTCGCTCGACTACTTTTCGACTCGAAGAGTATCGAATTTTGGTCAAGTGTTTTTGATAACAAGACTTGGAAATCGATTGGGTAGATGTCGCAGCAAAAGCATCGCATTTTCTGCCACAAATTCGACGGCAAAGAAAATGTTATTGCCATCAGTGTAACAACGTCGACGAGTCGCTCTTTCAATAAATCGGCTTCGCTCAAATCGTTCTCAGAGATCGAAAATGTCAACTCTAAGTGCGCC